GGGGATAGAAGCTCACCTCTGATCATGAGGCTTGGGAAGACTGTGTGCTGGGGCAGAGCACATGGAGGAGGGATGCTGGGAGCCTGTCCTGTGCTTCTTTCCCATGATTTAGCACAGCCCCCTGCTCTCTCTGTTTCATAAGCTCCTTATGGATCTGTTTTTACTATTCTAAACAGTCACTTTCCCATCCTTAAATAATTTCTATTTCACTCTATTTTAAAATTATTCTTTTTCCTTGCCACCATTTCCACATTTCCTTCGCTATGTTCCCAGTGGGTCTGACACTTCTACATTAATAGAAGACAGTGACCTGTGATAAAAATACATTTTTATGGAGCGCTTGGACAGGAAGCATTACAGGACCTGAGCAAGACATAAAAATACAATAAAGTATATGAAAATCCAGCTCCGATAGATTAATTGCCATGAAAACAGAAACAAGTGAGCAGACACCTTGGCAGACTCAATTTTTTGTACAGTATTCATGGAAGCAGGCAAGGGACAAATCTGTTGCAAAGTTATTTGGAATAGGGAAAATAGCAACTGAACAGAGTTGACACACTTGGACATTCTGCATTTTGTAAGCTAGAACAAAGAGATGGGATAGGAGCTAAAAACTCACTCATATAAGAGTTTATACAGCAGCAGTGGGTCTATTGGGCAGTGGAGTCCCAGTAACAGATCAGAAGACAAAGTTTGTCTTGACACCACCCAAAAATCTCCTGCTGAAGTGCAGGCCAGCAGTCTGCACACCAGCCATGATGGGGAGCAGTTGAGAGAGCAGGGGAGAAGGTGCTGGACAGAAGAACTGGCCTTGAGGTACAGCTTGAATTGCATTGATCTTCCAGCTCACACCTGAAATTGAAAGCACCACCCCAGTGTGCTTCCAGCTCTCCAGAGCACACTGAGGAACAGAAAAGGGTCTCTTCCACCAGCTCTGACTGAACATACCCTGGCCAGAGTACACTGAGCTACCCAGGAGAGAGGGTAAAGAAGCTATCCAGTACTAAACTGGAGAAATTAACTCTGACAAGCGTTCCCAAGTACAGGAAAATCCATACATGTTTGCAGCCATACTACTGAACAGTCCCAAGATCATACACTTCTTGACTGCTAACAATGATCAAGCTCCATGCATCTCCCTCCTTGCAGAGCCTTTTCTTCTGGGGCAGGAAATGCCTGCTCAGCCCTCAGGAGTTGGAGATCCTAGAAGACTCAGTGCAGGCAGCTGGCTTCTATGGTAGCAGTAGCAGCACAATCTTGGACCTTGAGAGCTTTTACTCCTGTGGGAAAAGCATAGGCTGAGATAAACTATTGACTGGGTATGCCTGTTTCTCCTTTTGGAAATTCAGCTGCCAGTGCCACAGAGCAACAGGAAAAATCAGATTCATTTCCGCAGAGATTTTATCACCTCAGTCTTGGCATGGGAGAGGTATCTCCACCCAGCTGTGAGCAAGTGAGTGCATTTTGCTGGCTTTTTTTATATAATCAGAACAAATTCCTTGGAGATGACTCACAGGTTTTCAAGGGTGTCCAGAGAGATGTTAAGCAGCCTCAAGTGTAAATCAGTGACACACCTTGCTGAGAGGACTCCTGCTCACCAGCAGGCTCATTTCCCCTGCAGATACCAGGTAAGGGAAGGGGCTAGAAGGATATTACCCAACAGGCTCCCACAATCCACATACACATGTGTGGCATCTCCAGGCCCAGGACACTGCTGGTGTTTACATTTCCTCTGTAAAGACAGTGATGTTTTCAGGGTGGAGCTGGAGTGCTTCCCTGCAGCTGCTCTCTAAGCTTAAACACTGAAGATTTTCAGACATTCAGGCTGGAGGGACTTGGCAGTCATTGAAGAGATTTGAACTTCAGAAATAGAGGTTCTGCCCCACCAAAGCCTGGTCAAACCCCCTGGCAGGGGTTCCTACCTGGGATGTTCATTGTGGTGGAACAGTTGTATCCCATTGCAATTATTTCAGTACTGTGATGATGCTATATTAAGCAAATTAAGCTATGTAGATCTGTTCCATTCCCCTGCCCATGAATGAACACTCCAGCCTCTGTGGGTCTGCAGGATCCATGCAGAGGACAAAGATGATACTTGCATAATTTCAAGGTGTAGCCTGCTTTAGTGGCTCCTTTAGAGGCTGAAATGTAAAGGAGGGCCAGGAAGAACCAGGCCTGGACACAATCCCAGAGGTCCAAAGTAACACTGAGAAAAATTCTGTGGATGCTCTTGGACCTTTGAGTGTCAGTGCAGATGGAACAGACAAATCCTTGATGGAGTTTGGCTCTGGGTCAGTCTTCTTTCCCTAATACCAAGGGCAAGGTTTGACACAAGGTGCCAGTGCAGGCCAGCCTCCCAATTTGCAAGCTGCATGCAAGTCTTCCATCAAGCAGGTGCTTTCAGTCTAGAGTGAGGCAAATCTCTATTTCTGCATTCTTTGAAGGCAACTGCAGAAGACACATCACAGCTATTATGTCCTTCACCTTTCAACTTCACTCTCAGATGAGTAACAATTACCAGCTACTATTAATATTAAATAGGAGAGAAAGAAATGTGATCCTCTCTTTGCTCTTCACATTCCACAATATCACAAACAATTTGTTATATTGGGAGGGGCAGAGGCAGGAAGAGCATTAATTATTGATACTTGGGAACAGATGGCTTTTCTTGTACCAGGGCAGTGAAATGTAAGAGGAGCCCATGGATGAGGATGTGAGGATTAGATGGGCAGACATGTATCAGGTAACCAGCCTTCAAGTGGAACAGGAACCTTCTTCCTAGAACCAGCTCCACAGGGCTGCAGAGCTTTCAACACAGCCCCAGCTGCAGAAACAAATCCACTGACATCTGAATTACTGAGGCTTCACCAGAACTTTTCAACACTCCCTCACCTCTGTACAGAACATGCTGGACACGATGACTGATGGCTTCCAGAGAGCAGAGGCCTGGCAAATCAGGCACCAACTGCTCTCTCTAGGAGACTTCACTGGTTTCACACATTCATCCTCATCTAACTGTCCTGTGCCACACAATGTCTATTCCTGAGACCACATACAATGCTCAAGAGTGACCTCCCCCAGCCTTCCAGTGGCCTTGGATCCCATTTAGGGTGCTGGCCTCCAAAATCAGAGATCCAAGTGATGTGGACCTGCAACTTCAACCAGAGACTCTGTTATCCAACTCTTTTTGCCAAATTTTCCTATTGATTTGTGTAAGGATGAAGAGCAAGAAGACTTCATTCTTGTCAGTTCCAATGGTGTCCTTGAGGACAGAGACACATACTGGGCTGTAAAACAAGCCTGCAAGGACACCTGCTGTGGGTGTCCCTATGTCTAAAAGCTGACTGTGGGACTGACATCCTTATGAGACAGGAGGAGCAACTGGGCAAGAGCGATTCTCCACCAAAGGCAGCTGATTCACTGAAAACTGTGACACCAAAAGCTTTTCCTGAAACTTCCTTGAAGAGTCTCTGTACTCACTGCTGGATTCAGGCATCTAGCTATTTTCACTCTGGCCTAGCCATCTCTTTGCTGAAAGAGTAAGGGACCAGCTGTACTGCCTCAGACCTGGGCCTGGGGAGCCCAGGGTGCTGTCTCTGGAAATGGTTATAAGCAGATGGTGATACTTCCTCTACTACTGCAAACATTATATTCCTTAGCTATTTTCCATTCAGGGATTTCATAAGCAGGACATCACCTCAATTCAATTCACTTCTTTGGACATACCCTTAAATCCTCAAATAGGCACTCATTTTCCCAGCAAGGACTAATTAAATACATGGTTACTCCACTGAGCAAAGCAGATTCTCTTGCCACTTCCACAGACCCAGAAGGTACCTCACGACCACAATGTCAAATCCCTTGGGTGTTGAGGACCTCCTTACAGCCTTTTCCTAAACTCTGTTCCCTTAGCCTCTGCTGAGAGCTTCATGCTTCAAAGTCTCATTACTCTGATAATTAGACACTCTTCTCATTTCTCAAGCTGACTAATCACCAATTTATAATTCCTCTCAGTCTGCCTAGGGTCATGCAGCCTGCAGCCTGTGAGAGTACTAAGACACGTACAGTCTTGTGATTTGGAAAAACACAACTTCCCAGCATCCCTCCTGGTCTGAATCAGTGGTAAAGTCCTTGAGGTGAACAAATGCCAGGTGCCAGGAGACAGCTACTGTCCATGAACAATACAACTTTTCACATTGTGGAGTAGGATAGAGCAAGTTTCCCCACCCAGTGAAGAGGGAGAAGCAATCTTAGAAAGACCTGGGTCACATCTGTGCTGGGAAAAAAGGAGCTCTCCCATAAAAGCAGCAAACCTTCCCACTATAGAAGCTTTGACCAGTGTCCAAGTTTACTCTAGTTTGGTGCAGGAAATGGACAGACCTGATGGTATCTATACTGCTGCATTATACCAATATGAGAGCTTTTGTTCCTCCAAAAATGCTGCTTGTCTCACTGTGATAGTAGCAGAAAATGTATTTAATGTGGATCTGTATTTAACGAGCAGTGTCCACAGAGCCCAGTGGTGTTTGCACCAGTGAGGTGCTGCTGAACAGTCAGCTGAGAGCTCAGGTACACAGGCTGATCTCACCTCCCCATGCTTCCCAGGGCCTGAGGAGGGGATCAGCTCACAAAAGAAGCCTATGGATTAGACAGCAATCCAGTGGATCAAAAAGCAGGAAAGGGCACATCTTTTCAACCCCAGAGCAGAACTGCTCCCTTTCACACTTCTTGAGTTAACATTTATGTGAATCCTTTCCCTGCCACTCAAAGAAGAAATTACATTATATACACATTCCAGAGAACCTTTCCCAGCAGTAATAACCATTTTTAACGTACATTGAGCCTGGGAGAATGTCTAGAATTTTACAAGCAAATGCATGAGTGGAGCTGTGTTTTGATCCACATGGGATAGCTGTCAGTTGACATCACGAACAGGCTCTGGAGTCGAGGTGGCCAGTGGGCTTGGGAGGAGGATGTGCTTGGCAGGAGCTCCCTACCTCTTTGATGGCAGACATCTTGATGTTCTCATAGTAGTGCAGGGGTGCATTGGGTGAACTCATGTCGTAGCCAAAGCCAGCTACTGCCACCTCATCACAGTTGTGCAGCGCCATGGTTATTGCTACGCTTCCCAAGGTGGGGATGTTCTGCGAGGAGAGAAAGCAGGAATGGAAGTCATTAGCAGGTTGCCATTTTTATAATCAAAAATTTCCTCTTATTGCCTCTGCTCATGGGGGCACTGCTGCTACTAAGCAGAAAATCAGGAATGTGGTATTTGGCTATATTCAACCTGCCAGCTTGCAGGGTTGATAGCCTCCCAACTTGTAAATAAATTAATGCAAATTGTCAGATTCCTCTTCCACAGCTTTGCTGTCCTGAGAACAGGGCAGCAGACAATCTGGAGGATGAATCACAGTGGATACATTAGCTTTCTGAAATTAAAACAGATGTAGACAGTGGATTCCAATGTTAATGCACATTACTGGCTTCCAGCTAGGCTAAGGTAAAATACTTATCCCAAACAGGTCACCATACAAGAGCAAAAGTAAGGAACAGCACAAACACCTTATTTCACTGACAGCAAATGCAGTTTAAGGTTGTTAAACACCTCTGGGAGATGGGGAGGAGACCAGGCAGTGTGTTCCAAGACCCCTTCCTTTCTCAGGGACACCTTGACAGTGAAGGGGCACTCTGGCCTGTGCCATTCCCTCAGAACCACACACTGGGAAAACAAGGAGCAGTGGGAAGCCAGTCAGAGATGGGTGGTACCATCCAGGGCACACCACAACTGTCCTTTCCCATCTCCTAACTTGCAATTTGCACTGATGTCCAGCCTTAGCCCTTCCCATTTCACTGGGCTCTGGCACTGTGACAGCTGTGCTGTACAGCTATAACTCCTCCTGTGTGTTCTGCTGGGACAGCAAAGTGTTCCCAGTGTAAAATCCTAGCTCACTGACTTTCCTAACTCCCCTTTAGACAGATAAATCCAGAGACAACATTGCCCCAGGGGCTAGGGAGAGGCTGAGAAATCCACCCACATCTTCATTTGTAGAGTATACAACACCAGCCATATAGGAAATATCACAAATTCAGAGGACATGCTCAGACAGTCACCAAGGGTGACAGCTCTTAACTGAGATGTAGAAAGCAGCTGCATTCTCATATTTTTCATTTACAATGGTTTACCCTGAATGCAAACTATTGTATGTTCAAAAAGGTTGGGAACAATGTTTTGAGGTTTTGCTTCTCATTCAAAGGAACTGGTTTTTGTCGGCACATGACCTTGCTCACTTCTGATTGCCTGACCAGTCTGAAGAAAAATGTTTTCCAAGCAAAGATTCCTACCCATATCCCAGCTGAGATGTGCAGAGCTGGGACCACAACTCGTGTGCTATGTAGAACTCCCCTACAGTGCACTGGAATTATTCCAATCTGAAAACAAACAGGCAAAAACTACTTATGGCTAAATCAATGAGACATTAAGTTCAAACATTTGCAGCACAACAGTAACAGAGAACACCTGAAATGACAAGATCTTCCTACATCCTCCTGTTCCAGTTCTAGATGTTGGGAAAAGCAGCAGAGTAATTTTGTTCTCACCGTTTCATTACAATTGATACTCACAAAAATAATACTGTTTTTATTCTAGTTACTTTAGTTAACTGTTAATTCACTGGTAGCCAAAAAATATCAAGTAGGGGTTTCAAAAAAATGGAAAAAAGTTTATTAGGCAAGGATAAGAACATTGCCCCAAATTTCAAAATATCCAAGAACATCCTGTCTTTCCAGACATGACAGTATTAATTCTGATTTCTCAGCTTTATGTTTTGCATAGGAGATGATATTTGTATGTCACTGGAATTGCATCAGCTGGTAAGCAGAGTGCCACAAACCCCTTTCCCTCAGCAGAGCTGTAGTTACAGTGTCCAAAACACAGTGAGTAAATGGTTACATCCTTGAGACTGTGTCGTCATTGGGTGCATGATGGTGTTAACACCACCCACACTTGCACTGGGCCCATTCCCACGGTACTGCTCAAGGGATACGTGGGGTCTTTGCCTGGAGGGAATTTCACTGGCCAATTTAACATTTAAGAGCTAACTTTCTAATGTGAGTCTTGCAAACCACAGAGAATTAAACACATTACCCAACCTTATGGGAGGACTGCCAAACTTTCTTTCAGGCATACTCTTTTTGGAGAATAACAGTAGACAGAAATCGAAAGTGAACTTTTGTTTGGTCGCCAAATATCTGTCTGACTTTATTCTTTCTATAATATATCCAATTATATTTTTGGATAGATAGGAGGTAATTTTCTCATCTGCTTCTGTTCTTCAGTAGTTCCTGATATGCCAATATCTTAGTACCACCTGCTCTGCTCTCAAAAATTATTGAAATACTAGAGACTACCTACCTTCCTAACCTCTTGAACTGTAGTATATGTATCTGATTTGGCCTCTATAACTATCAGAAATTCACAGGATGTCCTTAGCAAAGTGTTTTGCATTACCTTAAAAATCACATCTGGAAACTGATGATCTGATGATAATTTCTTAATTATGCTTTATTGATGTTAGCACCCTCCAACACCTCAGTAGCTGTAGCTTAATATGTAGCTTCCCTTGAAGGCAGAATTGTGCATCCTGCAGTGGTGAGATGCAGCCCCAATCTCACGGCTGCAGTCAGAATCCTGTGGGCTAGAGAAGTGCCTCTTGAAAATACTGTCAAAATGATCACCCCTGCTATTCACTGAGGACAGTAACTATTAGGGCAGCACAGGGGTGCTTGCAGAACCCACCCATAATAAATGCTGCAGATGACAGCACCTGCCCAAGAGAAGAATAAAACGTGTGTGCACCCACATGTGCCCAGATCACATACACGTAACTGGGCACTTGCTCCAAAGTCCTTATATTCTTTAAAAAAGAAGTAACCATCAGAGGGATTAAACAGTAATGGAGGAATTAGACAGTCTTGAAGAAAATGGAGCCGCCTTGAACCAAACTATAAAAAAGGTATAATTGTTTATTAACTAAGTGTCATTAGTAAGTCAATACAGTACTTTAGTCTTCATTTGGTTTAAGCTACAGAAACTGAGTCCTCTTCTCCTATGGCAGCCTGCTGAGATTCTGCTATTCCTGCCGCCCGTTGAAAATAAAGCACTGCCTCATGCCCAGCTTGTGGCATGGGAAAGACAATGCCTTGCAGGATCTAGGGACATATCCCAGGCTGTGCTGCAGAGAATGCAACAGAGCAGCACTCTAAGGTCCAAGGGAAAAGGCTTTCCCCTCCTTTCCTCTTAGCAAAGAAGTGGCAAATAAGAGGAGACACATTATTAGAGAGGAAGTGGCTATAACTACTCCCTGGCTGCATCTACAGAGCTTCCAAGCTCTCCTGATTGTGCATATAAATTCATTAGCTGCTAACCTCTAATCTGGACCTAATGGAACATATACAACCCATGGGGCAAACTGGGGGACAAGTGGCTCCAAAAGAAGTTAGGTATCATGGACATGGCAGTGCCAAATCTGGCTTGCTATGCCCTGCACAATGTGTCAGTGCTATCTCTCCACACACACCCTTGTGCCATGCCCCAAAGACATACCAAATCAACCACCACACCTCCTGTGTTATGAAAATAAAACTCTCTCAAACAACTGAGCAGGCCTCTTGTTATTTGAGGCTTTTGCTAAGACAAAATCCCCCAAATTCTACCATCTTGCCTCAGGAATAATAATCTAGTGTTAGACCAGTCCAAAGCCTGTCTTCCTGCTCATGGCCCTCTGTGTGCTTGGGTGTTCCTGCATTACCAACCAGTGCTGCTTTCAGCCAAATGGTTGAAGAGCTACAGCCCCACAGCAGCCAGTGCCAAGGCAGGAGCCTCTTGGGATGCCTCCCAGCCACACAGAGACTGCCCAGTGCAGGTTAGACCTGGAAAGGTCCAACATGACCACGGCTGCAGATGTGGCCATGATGAGTCTCTGACCTGAACTGGTACCCAGCAAGAAGAGTGAGCTGGGAATGACAAAGCCCAGAAATCATTGGCAGCCCTCTCCCCTTGTCAGTTCTCTGCCACAATTGTTGAGCTTGGCCTTGCAAGCTGTATGTCAAAGGTTTCTGTGCAGGCTGGGGCCCATGGAGGTACCAGACTTAGCATCCCCTTCAGCATCCATAAACAACTACAAGAGCAACCTCACTGGATAATGTGTCTAGAACTGAAAGTCTACATTTTCAAACCTGGCCTGTTTGTCTAAGACCAAACATATGGAAAATGTAATATCCAACATAATGGTCCCCAGAGATCAGCCCTTTGCTTGGTCCCATTTGAGAGAACACAGCAGACTGACAGATGAGACAGGGATGAAGCTGAAAGGCCATGTGACAAACAGAAGCAGAAAACACAGCAGTGGTGAGTGACAGATCACCACAGCAGTGCTGGGCAAAGCCTGCCTGAGCCTCTGGAGCATGGCTTCTTCCAGGGGTACCTGTCCTCTATGGGTAAGGTGAGCACATGCATGGTGGATCCTGGTGAGAAAAGTGTAAAGGCAGGAGAGGCAAAGATTTCTGGTTTTGTGCTGTGTCAGGCACCACAGCAGTGCAGTGCAAACACAGCCAGTTTGCTCCACCAGGTCAGGGGACCAGAAATGCCTTTAGCAGTATAGACACAGGACAAGTTCTCCTAACTGCTCCTACACTGTTCTCTGCTGCTAGCAAGAAGACAAAAGACTTCACCTCAAGACATCTTCCATTCTGCTCCCTGAAGAGGCTTTTAAGACTGACTTCTACTCACATAAGGAAAGAAGTCAGTCAACAGAAATGAACACTGGAACTCCTCTGGACTCTGCTGAGGCTGACCATTACCTCGTGGGCTTGTGCTGAAGATCCAGTGCTGGTGACTGAACCAGGGCTGGAACTGCTCTTTGCTTGGTGCATGTGAAAAGCTCTTGCTGCTTTTCATTTCATGCCCGGGTCATTCCTGTGTCACTGCCTGCTGGACTGGAAGGAAATGACTGCTGTAAATCTGTTTTTAGAAATATTTGACTCCCTTAATATGTTAAATGAATTCCAGTTATTTATGGGATTTTACTTAGTTCAGGGCAAGACTTATTGGATTGTTCAGACTATTCAAATTGTTACCTTTTTCAATAAAAGGGTAAGTGTTACTGAAGAATAAACTCCCTACAAACAATAATGCACCTGGATATTCAAATTGGTTTGACTACTATATTACATAATTTGAGAAAAAAATCAAAAAATTTGCTTACCTGGGAAAAATTCTTACCTTAGTTTTATCAGTCACAGACCTGATCACCTAATAGCAAAGAAGTTTTCAAAACAAAAGAAATCCAGAACAAAACTATAATAGTGAACAAATGTGAACTACCACTTTTGTTTCTTTATGTTTGCATTGGAACAAACCCAAACCTACCCTTTGTTTCCTTTAGCTAAAAAGGTGGAAATATGGCATAGAAAGCAATTTAGTATCATTCATTGTGAGTAGGCAAGTGCCTGGCATTCTGTGGAGCAGTCTCTGTCACAGGAGCACGCTGCTGCTCCTAGATCTACCTCCCATGCACAGAGACAGCTGCAATAGTGGCTTCAAAAGACACAGCAGAGCATCTCAGTGCCCTTCCTTCAGCTTCCCTGGCTATCCCTGGCTGTGAGTGGGACAGAGCCTGCAGGACTGGCTGTCTGCAACTGAGCAAAGGGAAGGACCAGCAGCTGGTGGCTGAAGACAGGACAGCCTAGCAGGCTCCCTTCTGCCACTTCCCTGCTGACTTCCTCAACACCTAGGCCCAGTCCAAGTATTTTTGACCACATCTAACCTGATGCACAAGTTCTGACTCACCATTTTCCATAGAACATATTCCTGTGCAGTGCAGGGAGTATTTCTAAAGGACATAAGGACTTAACAGAAGGCAAGCAAACGCATGACTTTAGTATGCTCTACCTGCTCTGTGATAAGCACATACACATTTACCCCATGCTAAATGGGAGTTCATGGTCTGCTCTTCACTGAGAAGAAAACTCCCTTCAGTTCCTTGGCATCTCTCATGAGCAGGAGCAGGTGGCTGGGCTTGTACCAAGAGGAGGCTGGTATGGAGCATTTACCTGCTCCCCAGCACCAGTTTGTTTGAGCATCCCTTCCCCAGCAACTCATGGACTGATTCACTGCAATGGCAATGGGTGGAACAGCCCAGCCCACAAAGCAGATGTGCTGCCTTGCAAACCCAAAGCTTTACAGTTTTTTTTTTTTACTTTTACAAACACTAAGTCTCTACATTTAACTGACTGCAGCTGCAGTGCCCCCTTACCTGTCCCTCTACCTGTCTTAGAAGATGCCATCAGGGTGCAAAAAAGGGAGAACCACATAACTGGAAAGGATTAAGTGGAACACTGTTCTGCTACTGCCATCCCCACCTCTCTTCTACTTCACAAACCCAACAGGTTCCAAGATACAGCCTTCACAAAGTCACAGTCCTGTAAGAACAGCCCAGGAGATGAAGTTTGCTGACACCTGGGTAGCTCATGAGAGAGAAGGTCATGATGATGAGACAAGGGAGCTGAAAATTGCCTAAGGAGCAAAGGATCCCCACTGGCACCTCCAGAAAGGCTGCCTGCCCACAGGAAAAAACATCTAAGAGCTACGAGAAGCTGTGGCCAGGACGTGCTAACGCTCCAGCTTCAGAGGTTAATCCCCGAGATGTCAACACTCTGCAGAGGTGCTAATCCATGGCTGGGTGCCTGAATCAGCCTGGTAACCTCCTGCACATGGCTCCTCCTTCACCAGCTTAGTGCTGAGGCTGGGTGAAGTCCAAAGAAGGACGCTTTATCTTTTTAGTTTACAGATTCAACCATTTCCAATACAGGAACAAACAAAAGGCTTAAAGCATTGGGTTAAATCATAAACAAATCCATGGATGCACAGCACCAGCAGAGAGAGAGAAACAAACATTGCAGTCTGCACTGCAGTCCTCAGACTTCTGATAATTTCTGTCACCTGAAGTGTTCTCCTTTCTGCCTGACACCAGGCTCAGGGCTCCCAGAGGAGCCAGAAAGACACTGTTCCCATGGCTCTGAGGGCTACTGACTGGACAGGACAACTCACTACACAGCCAAAGGCAGCACAGCAGACACCTAGGGGTGTCTGTGCACCCAGCAGTGACACCTCTGAGATGATGCTCATGCTTGTCCCCCAGTAAATTGCCTGCAGTGTAAGGGGTGCTATTGCAAGCTTGAACCACCAGCTGCAATACCAGTGATGTCTGGCTTCAAGCCAAAGATCTGTAAAAACAGAACTTCCACCTGAACAAAAATCACACTTGGCTAGTGAGAAAGCCAACCTTGCACCCACGCATCAACAATTATTTTCCACAAGAGATTGCTAGGAGCCCGAAGTTTGTTCTATATGATCAGCTTAACCCATGAAGTAGAAGTCCACATACAGTATGGAACAGCTCTCCTACTCTTAAGACTCCAGCAGGACTGAAGAAAACTTCTAAAAAGCTTTACCAGTCCCAGAAAGAAATCACTATTCATTGTGGGTGTGAGTTTTGCTCCTTGCTGAGGCTTTTGGCTACCACTGTCACGAGTGCAATCAAAATGCACATCTAAGTTGTACCCCATTATTATACTCCAGGATCATCTGGCCCAAATTATATTATCAAAGCAGAGGATGTTACTACATTCACCCTTTATTGAATCCTGGGAAAAACGTTTTGAGATCAGCCCCAAACTATTTCACTAGCTCTGCTCAACCTTGCTGGAAAAGCCCCAAATTACAAAGTTAATTGGCAGCACATTGTTACCATATGTGGTGTACAAGAGAAGCACTGAAGTTTATTTAGACATCAGAACCAAAGGAGAGTGGAATATTACTGCTCTTTATGAGGATTTTGTGTTGGCCTTGATTATGAAGGCATCCCCAGCCTTGATCCTCCAGTGTGCAGCCTGCCCAACACAGCACAGCACGCTGCAGCACGGGGGCACCCGTCTGCCTCCAGCCCCATTTCCCAGGAGAAACTCTGGATACACTGCTTGCTGTGCTTTTGCTTACTGGTCCTCAGCATTTTCCTTTTGCCTGTTCATATGCTTCTCTCTTGAGCAAAGTTTTCCAGGCTGTTTCTCATTGTGGAAGCACAACCCCAACCCAAGCAGCCGTGCAGCTGCTGGGTCACACCGATGTGGAACAATCCTCCTTGCTGCCCCACTCCTCTGGCTGGATCACTCACAAATCTTCAGTGAGAGCTGGATTCTTGGTCTACAGGCTCTGATTTCCACTCCTCCCATTTAAAATCTGAGCAAAAAATGTAGCAAAATTTTATCACCAGAGCCTTACTCAGACTCTTCCCTCTTTACCCTGACAGCAATAGCTCCTGTTGGAACCTTTGCATTTAACAAAGCTCTAAACTTTGCAGTGGTGCAGCAGAATTCACTGAAGTGTGAAGCCCCAGCAGTTCCATGACAGCAGTCCATAGCTGATGTTTGCAGTAAAATTGTAGCCACAGGCCAGAAACTCTCTCTCTGTTTTGAGATGCTGACAGAATCCCTGAATCAGTGTCCTTGCACAGACTGCCCAGGCTATAGTGACATCTCAGCCCCACACAGGCACCTGCAGAGCTCTTGTTGTCCCATCTGGTGGAATAAACTACAATTCACACAGTCTACTAGGGGTCAGAGGCAAACACTTCTTGACTTAAACAACCATAAACTATTTTTTTAAATGCTCAAATAGACTTTTGTGAAGTGAAACATCAGGTTTCAATTAAGATGCCTTCATTTCCCAATCTGATGTGTGTTAAACAACCTATCAAAACCTCATAAACTTCATCTCATAGCATTTTCATTTCCGGATTCTCTCTTCTCCTTTCAGTTTAAGCAATAACTTGTGTATTAAAATAACGTGTTTAAAAATAAAAATAAATTGGGGGAAAAAAAATGTATGATTATTTTTGTCCTTTATTGGGATAGCACTCCTGATTTTATGGAAGACACATCAAGACCACATTGTTCTAAGGGTAAGTTCTGGAGAATGCAGAGAGATGAAGTAAGTTAATTCCTAGCTGACTGGAATATTTGCAATAAGATTCCTTCAGTGCACAGAAGAAAAATCCAGAGTTCCCAGAATCCCATGACAGCTCCTGAACACAGCAGTGCATTTTTCAAAAGGCCCATTCCATGTGGCCGAATCTGTCTGCACATCTTGCATTTTGCATTTCGAGAAGGAAATGTCTAATCTTGAGGCACCCACCCATCTGACTTGCACAAAACAAAAGTTTCTAATATTCCAGAAGTCTTCATGACACAGTTAGAGCACGGAAAATGAGGCACTATTCTGTGTAGTCCAAATCCCTGCTGTGACATAGCAAATCTCCTGCACTGACAGCAGTGGAAGGACAATGCCAGGGGCAGACCAAGCAGACCTTGTCCAGCAAAAGTGCTTCTCTCTGGGTTTGTCAGCTGTGCTAATGTGCCCAAAAATGTCACGTGTGGTCTCTATCAACAACTATATCACATGTGTACACGAGCAACTTACCCACCCAAGTAATACTTACTCTAATGGTTGATATATTACGTAGAGCAAATATAAATAGGTTCTGAGGACAGTGTTGCAATGTGAGATAATCCAGAAAACCCAAGCCACCACCTACTCCAACACTAACATTCCAAAAAGCTGTACTGGGGGTGAGAGGTACAAGAATGAGCATTAAGGAATTTTGTTCATAAATATGAGCTAAAACTGTCATTTGCATTGTTTTCTTTTGTGAGTTTTTACGTACAAAACTTGTTGGGATAAGACCAGAATTTCTTACCAAGGGCCTCATAAAGCAAACCTTTACCCTCTTCTACTCTCAGTCTGGGGTGCAGCTGCACAGTGGCTTTCAAGGCACTGCTGTGTTGATGTTCCCCCTCAAAATCCTTGGATCAGGAAGGTTCTTGCCTGGGTCTGAAGAATTTTGAGAGCTGTCACTGTAACAGAGCCAAAGTCCTTCCCTTTCAATATCCAACAGTGGAGGCCCAAAGGAAAAATAACAGTGTAAGCATCCTCTGCTGCTTGGTCTCACATCCTTCTCTGAGGTTTTGCTCCCTTTGCTTCATACCTACCCCTCTGCCCATCAGGCCATTGTTGAAAGGCAGTCCAATGAAGCTGAAAGCTGCCTCCTGGATGAAGTAGGGATTCAGGATACGTATCTCATGAGGTTCCCTTGGGACACGGGTTGCCACTGACTTCCAAAAGCCATCAGACGCACTCTGGTAACAAAAACAGAAACAAAAATTTAGAAGAAAGATAAAACAACAAACAGAATTATATACAAAATATAGCAGATATATTTTATTTTAAAATTATATTATAATGCACTACTGCAGCAGTTCCCATTGTCTCTGCTCACTGCCACAGGGCAGTATTATGACACTGTAGGGGACCTGTGTCTCTTGGAGATGTGGCAGCAGCATGGACTGATGCAGTTGAGCCAGTCTGGATAGTAACTGGGAGGAAGACAGACAGGCTAGGCCTTCAGCATGAACTACCCCCTTCCTGGTGCCATCTTTTCACTCCTATTCACTTCAGCTGTTTTGACCCATGGATTAAGCATTCCAGCACATCCTGTGATCACTCTCACCTGCCTCCAAGGAGATACACCATTGGATAGCAAATGCTTTTAAGAACATTCAAAAAGAAAATAATTACTGTGCAGCCCTACTTGCAGTGTGAGCTACATGCTTCCCACTTTTTCCTAGATTTGTCCTCCCCTGTTAGGTTTTATGTGAATTAAGCTGTAAGCTCACACAGATATCATCTTGTCTTGTTAACAGTCATGAACATTCATAGTACAAGGGAAGAGACAACTAAGTATGTCTATTATTTTTATCAAATTCAAGTTTTCACTCTGCATACATGGAAGAACAGTGGCCTTGATGTGTGCTGCACTCCTTGCCTGGGGTGGGGCTGGTGCCACTCTGCCACATGGCTTCCCATCCTTGCTCACTGATGGCTTTGCATCATTGCTTCCCATCATTGACACCTTTCCAGGTGTCAGCAGGCACAGCACAGAGTGCCCCCAAAATAACCAGAGACTCTGTGTTTGCAGGACTTAGGGAACAATTGCGTTCCAGCGTTCCACTTCTGTTTGGGTTAATTCAGAGCAAGGCACAGGGAAGATGGAAGGAATTTTAATCTGCTGACCAGCCTCTTGGGCAGGATCACCTGATTGAACATCTTCTTCTTGAAGCATTGAGCCATCTTCCCTGAGATCTCCATGACAAGAAACAGACACTACACTACATAAAAAGGATATACTCTGGAATTGATTATATGCACCAGTTTTGGGTTGCTTGCAGCTTAGCAGTGACTTTACAGCTGCTCTCAAGGCACTGATGAAAATGTTGATTATCCACTGAAAATCCTCAGGAGCTTCCTCTGCCCAGTGGTGATCACCCCTGTAATTACGGACTGGAATTCTGCCTCAGCCAATGCCTGCTGCATTTCACACGCTCCTTGTCCTGTGCCCAGCTCCTGTGAACTCACACCACGTGTTGCTAAACACCTTACAGAGTGTTTTTCATGGAACAATCCCATGGATATCTTTAGCTGCTGAATTTCATACCCTGAAATTGAAACTTTGGCAGATGGCTCATACTACAAAAGGCATTAGCAGAGCAAACCTGAGGAGGGTGCACACTGTCATCCAAACCAACACTCTAAGAAAGCCAAATCCCATTGCTATCTGTGCCTCCTCAAAACTGCCCAAACATAATATACTTTTGACAACTGGGGCAAGCATCCCATGGCTTTAAGTTCACATTTCATCAATGGCCAAGTGCCCTTGGGGCCCTAAATGGAAAAAATTCTTAATTATCTCTCATCATAGCTCTTTCATCATAGTAGAATTAGAAAGAATGCCTGGTGTCAAAGTAGTCTAACACTTTCTATTATAATAAGACATTTTCAGCCACTGAGTGATCCCAGCATTTAAAAAAAAACCAGAAAAAAGCCCTTTACAAATATTAATAAAGTCCAGCATCCATTTGACCAAGGGATTTGAGGGATTTGGTATGCCAGCTGGGTTTTGCCTCCTTGTGAAAATTCATTAAAAATTGGATAAATATTAAACCTTTGGAATTTCCTAAGGGCATACGTAAAGTAGAGGCCTTTCAGTTCCAGGAAAGGAGGTGGGGAGAAAAAATGGTCACAGACTCCACTTGCATTAAGCATGCTCCAAGTCTCACAAAAATGAAGATGATAAACAAAAATCATGAACAGCTACTCATTCAGTGAAACCATCTTATCATGGGCTTAAGCAGGCACACCCTGGAAAAATAGTGTGTGACCTTGAAACTAAAATAAATTTGTAAGTTCACTTATGATTTCACATATGCCTCTAAATATGGCATTGCCCAAAGTTTGTGAACAATTCAAACCATAGATCTGTAAGCTACTTGAAGTGGACAGAAGATGCCTTTTGTTTGGACTTACACTCCACAGGAGAGTCTATATAAGTTCTGGGATCTAAGTAGGTTTTACACGGCTTTTACATTACACATAAAACATTAAATAGAAAAGAAAAAGAAGAAAAGTTATAAACATTTGACAGTTTTGTTCCTTGCTGCTGCTGGAGCTGAAATAACCAGACATAGCACTGCTGTCCATTTTCCCAGCACTGTGTGAACCACAAAGACTGCACCAGGGCTGCTCTCAGCTAGTTCAATGCCAGTGCAAAATAAATGTGGGTGCCTATCCCTAGCTGGAAATACAACCAGTCTGCTTTACTCCCTTCTATTTACCTGTTTTTCCTGTTGTTCTCCATGGCTATTTCCCTAAGCATTTCCTTCAGCTATCACACTGCTCTGAAAGTGCTCTGGCTTCTCCCTTCTGTCTCATTTCTATTTGTTCTGTGTTTTTCCCTGTAACTCCACTAGACAGTTCCCCAGAGATTAGTTTTGAGGGACACCTGGGGTAGACTTTCATTTTGGTGCGTTTTCCCACTGTAGCTTCTAAAACAATTACAGGGTGGAACACGGAGTCTCAGCAAGCAGCTCTCGCTTCCACCTATACGGCAGGCAAAGCCCCGTGCAGCGCTAAAGAACCAAAGCCTGCTTTCCTGGCTTATAATTACTGAAATCCCAGCCTTGTGGCTTGGCTCTCCAAGCCCCGTAGCCCGAGCTCGCTTCCCAGCGCTGTGCTTCTGTCACGGGCAGGGCAGAGCGCAGCTCCAGCGCCGCCGGCCCCGGGCTCCTCCCGCTCAGCCCCGGCCGCGGCTCCGCACCGGCGCTGGATGCTCCGCCCGGCTGGACCCAGATGTTCAGAGAGGTTTCCAAAGCAATTACTTCCCGTCGGGAAACGCTGTCCCTTTTTTTTGGCTGGGAGGAGACCCGAGGAGCAGCAGGCATTAGAGGGGAGGCGCGCTTTTCCTGCCAGATTCGGGAGCTCAGACTCGCAGTTGGAGGCTGGGGGCATCCTCTGTTGTCTGCTGCAGTGGCTAAACCTGCAGTGCTTTAGGCTTGTCACAATGAAATAACTCCTGTCCTGATCAGCACAATGATAAAGAGAAAATGAGTCTGAAAACTGCTTAGGCAATGTTCCTGCAGTGTCTCATCACCTCCTGGTACCGAGGTGGAAACCACAAGATCCTTGTATTAAGCTTCCACTGTTATTACTTGGTATTACTGTGCACCCACAGACTGATATGTCCCAGGCACATATCAGTATTCACAGTGCCAAAGGCTGCCAAAAGAAGCTTATCCAATACAAGCATAAAGAAACAAGCATCACAAACAGGCAGACAGGAGAACATGACTGAAGAACAAGCCTGTGAGGGCCATGGCATTTTTAAACAATCTTGGACTGTTTTCAAAATCTTGTAATTGCAAAGGACATCACTAAAGGCTTTAGAGGAAAGTATTTTAGAAGTACAAAAGAACTTAGATAGGCCAGGGCTTTCAAGCCAGTCTCTTGTACAGTTCTCACCCAGCAAAAGAGACAGAAAGAGACACCACCTCTATAGACACCACTCCAGGAATAAACTGGTACAGACATAACAGACCAAAGATAGCAGATTAGGAAGAAGGGGTAAAAAATGGAAGGGCTCACCAAATAGCTCCAGGGACAAGACAATCCAGCTGCAATCCCTCATTCTGTCCATTTGCAGAATACTGAAGGCTAATAGGCGCAGCCAGTTATAAGCTATTTTTTGTCTCCATTCAGATTTTCATCTCCTGTTCTCAGATTTACCAAGGCAAATCACAACATTCTCTAAAATAAGATATGGAAACTCAGAGCCTTAGCCAAGAAGCACCTCAGTGGAAAATACAAAGCACTAGAAGCAGGCTAAGTCTCCCACAATAACAACATTTC